TATATATATATATATATATATATATATATATATATATATATATATATATATAATTGAAAGGCGCTGTAATTACTGTTACAGCTTACTTTAGTAATTGTTTAGTTTTTCATTAATGCTAGTTTATTGGTGTAATCTTTCAGATATAAAAATAAGAAAATTATTTCATCTATATTTTGTTTGGAATCTATGGTGAACTACAACAGAATTTGACTAGTCTATTTGAACTAAATGGGATAAAGTCTATAGAAAATAAACATTGAATGATATTTTTGTAAATATTCGTTAATTTACCATATTTGAGTAGATGCTGAGATTCTTTTATCAATTTAGAAATGAACGAGTGTTATACTGAAACATCTTTCTTAATAAATGAAGACGAAATGGAGTGATACTATAATTTTTCTAAGTATATTAACTCGTTAAATGTATATTGTGTTTATTCGAAATCTCCTCAGATAAACTGATTTATCTTTTTTGTTCAAAATATAATCTCAATTATAGATAAATATGTCTTAGTTATTTGCAATGATTTATTGTAAATTGAAATATAAAAATGCTTCGAATTTCAAAATGATATGCAGTTTGGAAAAATACTATAAACATACTAGTTCATGTTCTCAAGTTTGGTTATCACGAATACTATAATCAGATATTGGCTAAAAATATTCGCTAACTTACAAGACTTCCCGATTATTTGTGAAGTAGAATATACTTAGAGAAATGTCAACCGTAGTAACTTTATCTGAAATATCCCTTAAACACATTTATTTAGATTGATTTATTCGAGGCTAGTTTTCTTTAAAAACAGATAGGAGATGTAAAACATTTACAAACCGAGAAACACTGAACAATTGGTGTTTCCTAGTCAAGACCCTTCAATAGTGAACGTCAGTTTATAGAGACAATGTAATGCTTGGTTCCAACAGAGAATACTGCTTTTTATGACACCTGGAAGTCCTGTGATTGCAACTACACACTTCTCAGATGCCTAGGGCCGAATTTATAAATACTTTAGAGGAAATGGAGTCCATCTGCTCAGCGGGAATAGTATACCGCACACAAAGACTCGTGTGCTAGCTGGATAGGTAGCTTCATCACGAGGCCACTCTTTTATTCTTTTACCTAGTGGCCTAATGTACAAACGTCAAGAAACGAAGTTTCATTAATAACCAATGACTGAAAATAGATCCGAATACCATTCATTGCTTGAGAATTGTGACGCGAATTTAAACCATTGATTTTGAATAAGAGTTTCCCTGCCCCCCCTTGATACGTCATCCGTATCCATCTAACTGCTCTAAGCTGAAAGTGTTCGTTTTTAGTCCTTTCGATTTCGAAAACAACACTCAAGCCTTATAAAGGCAGTAACTGGAACTTTCCTGACAGAGAATATAGACTTATAGCCATGTGAAAGCATTTCGATCGGAGTATGAACTTTCTCAGACCTCGACCGTATTAGAGTATTTTGAGTCAGCGCTTAAAAATATCATGATTCTCTAAGATTTTCCAACTATTTTCATTTCATGATTATAATTAAATTTAAATTATCCCATTAGTATCTCAAATTATTATTGACTAATTAATTTTTCTTACACAATATAAACATGAACTTTAAAAATTCATGTAAACAGATTATATTTTAAATGTAGCCATTGAGAATAACTTTTCATGATTGATTTGTATTTAAATGCAGTTACAGTATTGCCAAGTGATTTTCTCCTCTTCTTTTATTGATATTTCTCAACGGTGTTTTTCTTTAAAAATTCTGTGAATATAGAAAGAAAAAATTAATTTGTAAAAGAAGAAAAAATAAATAAATAACACAGCATACATTCATCATGTAGACAATACAATTTCAGTTTACATTTTCAATTATAGAATGACCTTATTCAATTTATCCGGCTGTCTATATCTGGAAACAAATGTTTCTAATAATTAGAAGAGAATAAAACACAACAACAACAACAACAACAGCAACACTCGTTGAATTAGAGCATAATATTTTAGTTGTATTTGATTTAATTATCAAATATATTATAGACTTTCTTCAATTGTTATAAAAATTATCTAAATAAGGTTTCATCAATTAGAAGAAAAGAAAATAACAAGAGAAAGTAATAAGATGATTCATATTGTATAATTTACAAATAGAATGCCTGTGATTCATGAATTACATTTTATTGTTTACAGTTCTTTTTTTTTTGTTTTTTGTATTCACTATTAAGTCTACTTACGAAGTTTACAATAAATAATCCATTTGAAGTTTACTTATTACTGAATAATGAAGAGTTTATTCTTATAATTTATGTTGAGTAAACAGTTAGAAAATAATCAGTATTTTCTTACTTTTATGATAAATTATTTGATAGACATTGTTATTATTTGATATTCACCGTTTCTTTATAATATAAATGCTGATCTCATGTTAGTTCACAAGATAAATGCGTAAAACCAATACTATATTGATTCAACAGATATTCGATAAACTCATGGATGGGATTAGTAAAGTTTCTTACTATTCTATTCTACTATCACTTTAACTGGAATCTTGTTTCAACTTAAATGATTGATGATTATATTAAGCACATGCATCAGTAAAATTTAATATCATTTCTAGAGAAAGTTTTCATTTATAATCTTAAAGTTGATAATGAATCTACAATGCTTTAAAGTTACCATTGGCTTTAACACGTTATCGTTGATTGCTAAACTGACTTCACATATTTAAAATAAAGATAACACTTTTTGTTTAAATCTGTTTTTGAACCTGGACTACGATTTCAATACAAGATCTCTACGATGACCTACAAGCCGTCTGTTTAAAGAAATGAAGTAGTGATACTGCTATAATTTATTGTGAGTAAATACAGACTAGTCCAAAAAATATTTAAGGTTGATGCAAAAGGGTTTCGTGTTAAAATCTGGTGATTTTTACTGAGTGTTCAGAATGTTTTACAGTTAGCCATCTTAATAATAAACGCGTAAACTAATTCACCAGTTAATTATTCAAAAAGTAGCTGCTACCGTAGTACTGTGGTTGGGTTTGTATAAAGTGATTTTTTAATCGAGGTTTTTGTGCCCATTTTCTTTTTCTGATAACACCAAATAGTTAATTTAGTTGGTAAAATAAATATCCTACTTGACTCCATGTATTTTCTGTGGACTTAACACGTTTAAAACAACGGTATATCAAAAGTCATACACGAGAATGATTTTGGATACATACGTTTCAGATGTTTATAAGGGCAGAAAGACAAAAGAATAGCCGATCGGAGGTAGTAAACAGAGTTACCCACTGTATTCAAAACGTTACTCAACATCTACTAGCATAAAAGATACAAGCAAGTATACAGACATAAATATACTACGATAAACACACGCTCAAGTAGCACATGTAAATAATAGAATGACTGGGAATGTTAGACTAAGTTATTTGTCCAAAGGTTAGGATAAATGACGTAGGGGGTTAACAATACTGAGTACCACCCTCTTTATTGTCTGAGACGCTTATTCCTTCACATTTTGCCATGTCAACTAAGTCAGTTAGAGAGTCGTAAGGCTATAAGCAAAAAGCTCATTGTTCGACAACAAAGTCATATAACACATTACACTCCGGTAGTCATACAACCAGCATTTGTTACGTTTCTGCATTTCCGCAACGGAAAGATAGGTTTAGGAAAATCTGGACTTGAAAATGCCATACCTCACTTCACAAAACGGATATATGTCGTCTACACTGAGAACTCAAAATTAAGAAGCCAACGCTTCTGAAAATATTTGGATAAATATTATGTATCTCAATTTGTCGTCACTTTGACATTAAAGATGCTCCTAAGTCGACAAGACCACTTCTAATACAGATTTCTTTTCAAAGTTCTCGAGAAGAAGCATCTTCTCATGGTATTAAAAACAAAAATGACAACCTGTTTCATATTCTCAACAACACTCGTGATCTCATCATCGATCAGTTTTTGATATTCACCCTTTTTCGGATTATTGACTGAACACATAACTATCTAAGTTCCCCGTGAGTAGTACTTCTTGACCTTGAAACGACATTCAGTTCCGTTGAATGCAAAGCCTAAGGGCAATGTTGACAAATGGGAGGAATATCAAAGACGTCCACCACTTTTGTGAAGGGTTTCTAATAAAACACCACCTGTTACATTGTGTCCAATAGTGCACGATGTATTATTGCATGGCTATGAAACACAGTTTACGAAAGTACACAAAAAGTGTAGAATGCGTGTTGCTTGTCACAGATATCTCAGAATGATTGACCACGTGAATGAGTAATGTTTAGGTTAGGTGCAGGATTCGTGGCAAAAGTGGCCAGTCAGTTGATGAGGTTATGAACCTTAATTAACTGAAGTGGCTGGGACAGGTGTGACGTATATTTAATCACCACCTGATTGAACGTGTGCTGCTTGCTGATGTAGAAATGGGTTGGAGGGAAGCAATGAGTTGTCAAATCAAAATGTGTCACCATTGCATGAAGTCATTGAATGTTGGTTGGCTGGAGTCGTGCTGGTGGATGCAGACTACATGTTTGTTATCGGCATGATGACCGTGATCAGTGGTTATGGAGTTCGGATGGAGTTGTTGATAATCAGTTAAAATGACGCGAATGAATCCATTGATTATTTTGAATTGTAGTATTTCTTCATACCTACCTTTTCATCCTTTTTTTCATACCATATTCTCAATGTCAGGTGTTTCTCATCATCACCGCTACTAGATCAATTGCTTTTCATCCTGTTAATTTCATTTTGTCGTTCTATCGTCGTATGGTAGCTTGATATAAGCGAAATTTGTGTCAGTCTGTTGATTCTGACTATTACTGATGAATTTAGCGATTTTCATGGATTTCTTTGATATTTTTATATATCTTTTCTCTGTTCTATTCACCTATGCGACAAACCCACAGTATTCATTTTTTATTTAACAACTATTATATCTTAATAAATAATGAGTATTCATTTTATCATTTCTGCGTTGAGGTAATTGCTGGTCTACACGACGGAGGTCTGTCTATTTGGGATCAACACAAGTATTCCAATGAAATACCTATGAAATCAACAAGTTTATCGATTTTAGATGACGTTCAACATCAGTCTGTTTCCACCGGACTCAATGAATTTTTGAACCTGCCTGTTTTGTTACCAACCTATAAAACATCACTTGTAGAATATAAAGATTCCACAAATACATGCAAGCTTCAATCATTGGTAAACTGTGTGACTCAACAACATAATCACTTTAGTCCAATTATATCTGTTAAAATTGCAGTCGGTGATCATCATAGGTATCGTGAACTAGTAGATGAATCAACTACAGATAAAGATAAATTTCAAGTGCTTGCATTAGACGAAATTGGTAACATTAGTTTATGGCTAGTATTGATGAATCAAAAGTATAGAGTGCAAAATACTATAGAAAGCCTTGCAGGCTCACAAATAGATTACTGTTTATCTCCCGGCACCAGTCGTTTACGTATAATTCGCTTACAGTTCATCGAGTACAAATCAACACAGATAAATGTAAGTTAAAGATTTCTATTTAACTACAAAGATTATTACTTGTCGAAGATCACGTTTTGCTTTACTAATAAGCACGTATGCCTTAATATCCCACGTGCAATTTATGATCATTCTTTTCCAACGATCATTCACGTTTTGCAAAGTCTGTCATTTTACATTTTGGTTATATATGTTTGATCTATTTAAAAACGAACTAATTTGATTTATTGCAACCATCGAATCCAAGAAGCATCTGTTAGCTGGTTTGGAGCTGTTTAGAAGAGTTCACCTGAAATCAATCATGAAAAAGACCCTTTAATCTTGAGGTCTCGTGGCGATTACGGCACACAGGAAACTTCACACATTGTTAACTATTTTGCATTTTTGTATCGAAGTAACATGTAATTCATTCGCTGCTTGAGGATATACTAAACAGATGGAATAAACGTCCGGTGTATACATTCAAATTAAGAAACTTTCTATGAAACGTTTTGGAAATTAAATCCTGATTAATTACCAGTTGAACAAAGTATTTTTGATCAACCTGGTATTCAGAACCATAAATTCATATTATATAACGATACTGAAGAAGAACAATAACAAATGACTAGTATCCAGTTCAGAATCAAATTATTGTAAAGAATATAAACTTGTGTTTCCTTAAAACCGATTACAAACATAGCCAATACTTTGTACTACACTTATCGGTTTTCTAGATTAGAAGCAAAGTCATTTTAGAGGATGATATAAATATGATGTTTGTTAAACGACCCTGTATTCTTTTTCCGATTATATAATCTGAAGCATAAGATAACATTAAATGTTAGAAGATTATCAATTGTCAGTAAATGCATAATTTAGTAATCAAAAGGGAGGTTCACATACGTTCTTATTTAAATCGATCTTATACGAATAACTCTTTTGATAAAACAACTATTTGAAAGTCATACTAATTAATATAATAAGCCTATTTAAAACCAATCTTTTGTTGACAGTCTTTTACGAAAAGAGATAATTTTCTTTTTCCCAATATACCAAAACGTTCTGACATATTAGCAATAGTTGTATAAGCATACTTGTGTTTTATGTAGTTCAAATTATTATTTTTAGCTGTTTGTTTCTAATTATATCAACCTATTGAATCTAATAAAACAAAAGATATAAAATATTTCTATAATGTTCAGTCCGGAATAATTAACTATTCAACACTCTCATAGATATGTATTAAAATTACACTCGGAAAATCTTTTTCTTTCAATTCTCCCTTATTAGATTCCGCCTTCATTAACAGAAAATAGTCTAAAATTTCAAACAGAAAAGAATAATTGGAACCTGTCAAATCGGTTGAATAATAAAGTTATAACCACTTGTTTAGCCATAACGAAACATGGGAATTTCTTGATTGGTTGTAGCAATGGTCAAATTATACATCGCGGACGTACACCTAATCAAACAGTTTATCCTAAACTATTTTCACGAATATTATGTTGTTCAGCTGTACAGACAGTAGAAACGCATCCAAATGCAGAATTACATATATTTATTGCAGGTTGGATATTTTATTGTATTTTTATGCATACAAATGGCTATATTCAATTGCATAACTTTTAAAAATTGTCTGATTTCTTCAGACAGAAAAACTATCCTATGTTTTTTTTAGTTGTAAGAACTTTGTATTTAGTAGATATTCAAGCGTGTTATTTGAGTTTGAAATGAAATGCTTACGGTTATGATTCGCTAAGTAGCAATCAATAACATTTTTTCTAATTTTTAATGCTAGTTCAGTTTTTTCAGTTCAAATACGTTGTGGAGACCGGACTAATTAACTAGTCATCACACTCCACTTGATGGTTGAAGTGTAACAAAGGAAGCCCTAGATCTAACAATTCACATCTACAATATTGAGGGAATTGATTCTCTTAGTGGGATTTGAACGCAAATATCCATTAGCGTCAGTGAGAAGAATTGATATTCAGTCTTTTAGACTGTGGCTAACTCCCTGTAGGATCAAAACGTTTACACTAATGGGTAAAATAGAAAAAATCCTCAGCATTTCATAGATGTTTTACGTAAATCTGACAAGGCGGTGTACCGCCTGCACACGTGTAAACTTGATTTTAAGAAGTCGGTACAAGGATTATTTGAAACGAAGAAAGTAAAACAAGATTCGCGGGACAAAATAAATTCGATCAGTGTCAAGGTCTGTCATCAACCTCAAACAGCCTGAAATTACAAGTGATGCTATTGAACACAAAAGTTCGAGATATCTTAGTTAATGAGTCTGAGATGAATGATTAAAACAGAACTGAAAATCATGTTTATGGCGACTGTTATGTAATCATTTATCTTTTCGTCGTGATTATTTAATAGCGAATAAAATCTTATTTTGACTGCTTCCTATGTCTAGCTTTGTAAGCATATTATTGGTCGTCAGTTTTAATTACGTTTAGTATCACCTCATATTTTTTCCGCTCATTATGGTTCCATTCCTAACATTCATCTCAAATTCATCACCTAAAATATCTTAAATCTTTATGTTTATTAGTATCACTTCTTGTAGTTTCAGTCTGTTTGTAATTGAAGAGAAATCTTCACACTGACTGAATTCATTTTGTCCTGCAAATTTTGTTCTTTCGTTGTTCAAATCTGATAACAGTGAGTTTAGTCGATCAACTAATTTAGATCGCTTTGGATTATGATTTTTATTTCCTTCAATTATACATTTTAATGATTTTGAGGTGTGATAAATTGAGTGAACTTATTGAAATAAGCCGAAAATGGATGATCGGTCGAAGAGTATAGATATATGACAAAATAAAAAGCAATCGAATTTTCTAAATTTTAATGAAGCGCACAAATAAGACTGTATTTCTCGTATTAATGAGATCAATAGAGGTTTATTGCATTAATTAGAGTTGAACTGAAGCCTAGTAACAATGAACTACGAGATTAGATGGTGGTTAGAGGTAGTCGACAGGAAACCCTGGACCCGGGTTTCGTGCTGTTTGGTACTCGCCAGCAAGGTGTACCTGTAATCTTGAGGGAACTGGTGCTCCCTGGCGGATTCGATCCCGTATCACCCAGTTTCACAGTCAGAGATGTTACCACTAAGCTATCCGAGTCGCGACTAACCTCCTGTAGGACTGAGATGTAATCACAATTGATTGATCACTGGGTGGTGATCGATATCATGTGTGTCAAGTCCTTATTTAGTGCAGATCGAATACTATTGACCATGTTGCAATCTGGTCACCAGCCTAGGTGACTCAACACTGCGGGCACTACATACTTTAAAAAAGTAATCCTTTGGAGCGATGTGTCCATATTTGAATAAATGTCCATGTATAGTACTAGTAATTGTTTTACATTCAACAAAATATTTTCAATTCGACAACAAAATCTACGAACAAACGAAAGGGACACCAGGTACACCTTGCTGACGAGTGCCAAGTAGTACGAAACCCGGGTCCAGGGTTTCCTGTCGACTACCTCCAACCACCATCTAATCTCAATATATAGTGCCCTCAGTGTCGAGTCACCTAGGCTGGTGGCCAGATTGCAACATGGTCAATAGCATTCGATCTGCACTAAATAAGGACTTGACACACATGACATTGGTCACCACCCTGTGATCAATCAATTGTGAACAATGAACTATCGTTAATCTTTCCTAAAACTCATTAAGTAGTTTATTTTGAATTTAATGATGGTTGAGTTACATGAGAGAACTCAGTAATATTTATAGTTTGGTCTATTTCAAGTTTGATTTTTGTAAAAACTACATTTTCCTGAAGTAGTTAAAGTACTTCAAAGATTTTCGAACGAAATCCATTACAATGCTTACTGTTATATTCACAAATACCTGTAGTGCACAGATATATACATCTGTAGTCAACTGAACATTTGCTTGAATAAATTGGATAATGAATTTAAGTAATAAGAAACAATTGTTTATCTAAAGAGTTTGATGAGAAAATCATTCTGGCAAATACCAATATTATTGTTGTCAGGTATCAAGTACATAGACTTAATGTTCCTGCACATATGAATCATATATGAATATGAAGGTCACTAGACAACTATGACTGATTACTCAGTTCATTATAATAATTATGCTGAATATAGATTTGGTATTTAATGTTTATACAATAATCACGTATTTGAAAATGAATGAACAATGAGATTGACAAATTAATTTAAAAAAGTGAAGGCATGAGAAAAAAACAAAGAAAAAATATTACTTAGCGTGTCTGTGTTTTTATTTGATGTTAAATGTGCTCATTAATAATAATAATATAATTTTACTACATCCACAATTTTGAATTAGACGAATAAATAGCTGATATTGTAATTTACGATTGAGTGACCACTAAGTAGTGAATAATGTTTTGATTTACTGCTCATGTCATTTATGTATGTCAAGTACTTCTAAGTGCTAATCCAATCCTGTCGATCCAGTTGCGATACGACAGCTAGTCTAAATGACTCGACATCACGTCTACAATGTTGAAATGAAAGTGGTAGTTGAAAGCAGTGAGAAGTAGACCTTTAACTATGTTTTTGTGCAGTTTTAGACTCATCAACAAAATGTACTTGGGGGAACTGATTTCCCTGACGGATTCGATTTCACGTCAACCGGTGACACAATCTGAAGGTTATCACTGAGCTATTCTAGCAGCAACTGACAGACTGTAGAATGATGATGTATTATTAATTGATTGACTACTACGTATCGAATCATATGTTATTTACTTATCTTTACCTTATCAAACAAGAAAATAGAGTGGAGGTATGTATGTGTTTATTGAGAGGAGTTACAAAATATTTACATAACACATATACATAGCTTTCAATCGTCCATTTGCATCTCTTGGTTTGTTCTTCAATCTGAACTGCTTTATCGACTGGCCTCCAAGTGTTCTGTCAATGCCGTGTTTCTGATGTACTGAAACTCTTCACTATGTAAGACAATTGTTGCAAATTCGACACCGCGTTCCCCTACACATTAATTACAAACATTCTTGTGAGTAGTGTCCGCTACAGCAAGACATCAATAACTACGTACTTACTTGCGCATGTTACCTGTCATGAAGAAGCGTAGGCCGCTCACCAGCATTCTTCAACGAACTCTGTCCTGGGGATCCTTTCCAGTTGCTATTCGTCCTTTTCATGTCTGCTTCCAATTCCCGATGCACTGTGTTCTTTGGCCTTCGTCTTTTCCGTTTCGCCTCAGGATTCCAAGTAAGTGCTTGCCTCGTGATGCAGTTTGATTATTTCCTCAATGTGTGTCCTATCCACTTCCGACGTCTTTTCCTAATTTCCTCCTCAGCTGGAAGTTAGTTTGTTCTCTCCCACAGTAGACTGTTGCTGATGGTATCCGGTCGTCGGACATTGAGTATTATGCGTAGACAACTGTCCATACATATCTGTACCTTTTTGATGATGGTTGTAGTAATTCTCCAAGTTTCAGCTCCGTACAGTAGGACTGTCCTGACGTTCGTATTGAAGATTCTGAATTTGATATTAGTTGACAGTTGTTTTGAGTTCCATATGTTCTTCAAATGTAGGAATGCTGTCCTTGCTTTACCAATCCTTGCCTTTACATCTGCATCCGATTCTCCTTGTTCATCGATGATGCTACCCAGGTACGTGAAAGATTCCACATCTTCTGTATCAAGTGTGATTGGGTTGATGTTCTCCACGTTGTATTTGAGGATGCTGTCACACTAGTTGTCTTCATCTGCATTTGTTGGTGTGCATGGGATAGATGGGTCAGGTCATCTGATAAGTCTGAATCTTCTGAAGACAGCAATAAGGATGAATAAAATGTTTTAGTGGTACTATTGTGTGGTGACAACGTAATACTATCAAATGATTTTACTGAAGATTAACTCATCAATTTCTTTTTTTAATGGACTTTACAGTTTTTTTCTAAAGAATACTTATTTTTGATCCGTATCCAGGGAAGCAATCAGTTATTCATTATTGTCTAATATTTAGCGATCCATATAAATGATCACATAACTTATTGAAGAAATAATGAAAATCCGTTTTATTGCTGGGTACGGTTTGCTCGTTAAAGTGAAATTCATATTTGTCACCATCATTTGTTTGGTACATAATTTCTTTCATATTGAACTTGACTGTGTAAAACTAATGCTTGTAAGCTGTTGAGAAGCACGACGGAGCCTTAGGAGGCTCTGAAGGAGCAGAAGAGATTCCATCTAATCAGAACCTGGTGGAGCTTTCTAGAACATCAACGTGACATGCTACGATTGGACAATAGCATAACTCGATGTAACAAAAAACAAATCATTTTCATGGTCTCGTTTTCATTTTTTGATAAAGTTACATTGAATAAGGTTGGCAGACACATGCAGTACATAGTTTTTTGTCCAAGATCTCACCATTTCGAGAATTGGAGATAGGAATGTGACATATTCGGTTTTAACTCTGTAGTTTAAATATTATTCTCTCGCTGAGAAAGCTATATGTTTTGAGTTGGTTTACTTCCTGGTGCGCGCAGTTGATTCCAGTAGTAAGATGAAATAGCAGTTAAGTACTGTTCTGCTTTAAATAGAACTCAATAAGATGCAAAATTGCGATCAGTTCAACTAACTAGTGAATGATTCTCAGTAATAGCTGTCAAAAAACGGCAGCTTCTAACAACTTAATCGTATGAAAAGTTTTCAGACATAGATTAACTTTCAGGCACGAACCAGCGATTGTCTACACAAAACTAGACATTTCTAAACCATCGCTCAATGGTTTAAATATTGACTTCTTAAATTATTATCTAGTAAAAACGATTTAAAATTAAAACAACTATATTACAATTATATTACAATCCAGTGAGTCATCGTAGAACAAGCGCATTTTTTAAAACGAGTAATATCTAATTGATTATAGCATCAGAAAAGGCTGTTCTCCATGCTTGATGTTCAAGCGAACAACTGAATGTCGCAATGAATCTCATACTACAATAAATTTTTTTTCATAAATAATCAACTTGGTTAACAAATCAAAAAATGTTTCTTTTTTTCTTGTTTCATCTGCATTGGTAGATCAAATAACTCACCTGAATAATTCTTTTTTTTCTTAAAATATCTTTTATCGTGTGTAAGACGTATTAATCAACAGAATCTTCGAATAGAATTATACCAGCAAAATAAAAGTATCCTTTTTCATATTTTCAAGTGTAAAACGGACACAAAAACAAAAGCAAAATAAAAAGATATATGGGCACTTTATAATTAACTATGGATTATATCTTTCTGTTGATATCTGTGACCCTATTCAATGACCACAATAAGTTAATGCTTCTCCTTTTATATACCTATTTCCACAATGTAATTTTAATAATAATAATAATTATTATTATTATTATTTGTAAAATCTGTTTCTATTATCTAGGTTATACAGATGGTAAAATTTGTTTATATAAAACAAATTACTTTCAACCTATACTTGAATGGGATGTTACGTCATCAGTGCCAATAACAAATTTATCCAAAATAAAACTAACTAAAAATAAAGATGACACAGTAGCACCAATTTCAGAATCAATATCGAAGATTTCAGTTAATCGTTCATTTATTAGTATTCGTAAACTTATTTGGTCAGCTACTCGTTCTTCAGTATTTTTCAGTTTGGATTCAAATAATCAAATAATTTTATGGGATATTGTAAACATATTCAACCTGGCTAATAATTCTTTACTCTTAAATGATACAGAATCTAGCTTGAAGAATGATTATCCGATAAACGTGAACTTGAATGATAAAAAAATACTGTCTTGTCAAATTAATGATATTTGTATAAGTAAAATGCCATGTTTGAGAAATATTAACCGAATTTCATCATCCTCAATAGCACCGATTTCGACTCATTCATCACCTTTATTCATTTTATTCTATCCGCATAAAATTAGCATACGCTGGATTAATTCCCGTTGGATAAATGAATCAGTGAACGAAAATACTTTATTAATGAAAACCCTCGATAATTTCAGTAGTATCAGTTGGCCTAAAATTTGATAATTTATACCTATGAATGTAATTTTTATTGATTGGATACTCGATTTTGAGTATTTCTTTATGTTTCTTTACTGTTCATTCTATTGAAGTGAATTAAGCAGATGTACATAATACTAAATGTAGATGAATGAACCATTATTATTATTGTTTCTTTGAATACGGATCTATGCTTATGTATGAAAACACTTTTCTGTTCGATATTCTCACAGTCCAAAAAATTTACATTACAAGACCATATACTAGCGTTAAGTAATGACTGTATCAACCGTATTTTTTAAACAATTTTAATCAATCTTTCATTGTTCATGAGAAAAAAGTAAACAATATATATTTCTTCGTTTTTGGCTAAGAATACTTAATCGTCGAATACAGTTGAAATAAGTTGTACGAAAGTTAGAAGAGGCAGTGGCTGGTGTTTTTCAGTGAAAGGAATATCAAAAACGTACATCAGCTTGTATGGGCTTTCTAACCAAACACTATCGATTGTGTTAGTACTTGTGGAGAACTTTCATCGTTTTTTTTTTCAAACTTAAAACTATGTTCGTCCAAGTTATCCACTGTCCCTTCATCTATTCAATTTCCTTATGAATCTACTCCTAAAATTCAATCTTTCCTTAATTATTCAGTGGTCTATCTCTTGTTAGATAATCTACTCCCCGACTTGGAATATGTGGATGATATAGTTCTGTTTGTTTGAGACTTCGATACAACATTGAGTCTTCTGATCATCTTGAGAGACAAGGTAAACACGTTTCTTACGCACATACTTCGCCATCTAAATGCAAATGTTTGTTCAGGGACTAGTTGGAATCAAGATTTGGACAGAGAGGTGGAGTTGGGCACGTCGATCATTTCACTTATCTTAGATGTTTCATCCGTCTTGATGAGTCAGGGTTTGATGAAATCTCAATACGGAATCATCAATCTTGACTGTGGCTCGCCAGCTTACGCCACTTATGACATAGAAGTATATGCGTTTCAAACAAAGAGTGAGTATAGCGCCCAGCGGTGCACTATGTATTATTGCATGGCTATGAAACACAGTTTACGAAAGTACACAAAAAGTGTAGAATGCGTGTTGCTTGTCACAGATATCTCAGAATGATTGACCACGTGAATGAGTAATGTTTAGGTTAGGTGCAGGATTCGTGGCAAAAGTGGCCAGTCAGTTGATGAGGTTATGAACCTTAATTAACTGAAGTGGCTGGGACAGGTGTGACGTATATTTAATCACCACCTGATTGAACGTGTGCTGCTTGCTGATGTAGAAATGGGTTGGAGGGAAGCAATGAGTTGTCAAATCAAAATGTGTCACCATTGCATGAAGTCATTGAATGTTGGTTGGCTGGAGTCGTGCTGGTGGATGCAGACTACATGTTTGTTATCGGCATGATGACCGTGATCAGTGGTTATGGAGTTCGGATGGAGTTGTTGATAATCAGTTAAAATGACGCGAATGAATCCATTGATTATTTTGAATTGTAGTATTTCTTCATACATACCTTTTCATCCTTTTTTTCACACCATATCGTCAATGTCAAGTATCTTCTATAGTCATTGAAATGACTATCTGTCCAGGTTCATTTTAAGTTTTGAGACATCCATTCTTTAGAAAAAATGTATTAACAATTATGTTTAAAATTTATGCAGTAAAAGACTTTTTCTGAATGTTACTTGGATCTATTTTTTTGTCGGAAATATTTTAAAATGACATCAAAACTATTTATCATTTCTAACACTTCATACTATGTCTAGAAAGCAGCAAACCAGTTCGCGTTTTATCCATAACAGTATTTTTAAGAAATGTCAAAATATTATGAGAAATATTTACAATCTTTGTCGCACTATAATTTACCGAATTACAAATAAGTCATTTTACAATCTATAAGGAACAAAAGTTCAATTAAACTTGATAGACTACTAACACTAATACACTATGTTTAGATCGATGTTTCAAGTATTTCATCTACAGAGAATTAATAAAAGGTCAACTTGATATCGTTTCTGGGTTTTTGAATCTTTTTACTAATTTAGGTTTCATCATATCGTTTGATGATGCATGAAAGAGACCGTTAGTTTATATCTCTTATGCATATGAACGGAATAGTAACTACACAAAAATCTTTAAATGTTAACAACAACTCATAATTTAAATGAGTGTATATATAAATATCTGTTAAAATGGATGTGCTGATCATTAATTAAATATATACCGCTAGGTTTAAACTATATCCTTTTAAGAAACAGCTGTTATTATTGCTTTTTTGTTATTTTATTTCGTTTGCATTAAATAAAATGAACAAGAGCGCGATTACGTTCGGATGTTAGAAAGTTAGAGGTAATCGACAAGAAACCGTAGACCGAGGTTACGTGCTACTTGAGGTTCCTCGGCAAAATGTACCTGCAATCTTGAAGGAATTGATCTTCTCTGGTGCATTAGATGTCATGTCGTCCAGTTGCGTAGCTAGGTCATTAGAATTCGGTCACCAATAAGAATGACTACCTACATAACACTGACCACTACTGAGTGATATGTCAATTGTGCACATACTTCCATTTATTTAACTGGAACTGAAAGTGTTATAGAAATCCGTAGTTTGAAAAGTTTTTACATAAATAACTTTAAAAATATTATTGAGATGACGAACCAATCTAAGTTAGAAGAACATTTAAAATCAGGAAGCATTTGATGGATGTTTCGTCCACAAACCCGTAGTTCCAAAAAATATTAGTCAGCTCATATGTTATGTGGATACTTGCAGTCTTACATATTGCATTTTCACTAGTTTGTCTTTTAATTATACATCTAGAATGTAAACACGAGGATCACTGTATACCGTTGGTCGAGAAACTTAGTCGAATATCCATCACGCAGTATTTTACCATTATTATGAGGGTTTATTATTTTCTGAACTATACCATACCGTGAGAGGTGTCTAGGGTAATGTTTAACAAGACATGTGATACTGGACAGATCCTAAATAAGAAATGTCCAATGACTTATTCACAATCTAATCAAAGATTCTCAAATTTCACAGCAAAACGATACTATTCACTCACTTATTTCAAATTTATTGGGCCATATTTTTTTACATTAGCCAATTAGTGGTACATCAGGATCCTCATTCATCCTTGTTGTTGAGTTACTTAACTAATCCTGACTTGGCCAACTTTACACGTCACAACTTCTAATTAGAATGATGGACTTTGTGATTCACCAATACACTTGGAGGTCCTTGACTCAGTTTTTATGGGGTTATGAGTGGGAACCTCTGAAAAAAACTTAAAATAGAACGCAACAACCAGTGAGGGTTTTGAGAACTTTGGGAGTTTTCAAATTCATATTACTTCCCAAGTAAATTTGCATTTAGTGTTTTGTTGAATAAAGCCTATGTACTAACATTTTTCGTTTCAATATAAAAACCAGTTTAGATGAAATTGTAATTCACTTTGTTTATTGTGATATTTTGGATTCAATTAACAGAAATAATAATTTTCAATATATTTACATGATGTCTTTGTTAATGTTTTGCAAAGGAATGATAATATATAATTGTATGGATTATTTTTCTAGATTCACTTTCTACCTTTGAAATTTTAGCCAATAAACTAAATTGATCTCAAATGAAATTGTAAAACAAACAAACAATTCTGATAAAATGTTATATTTTGACTTTCAGTACTTCATGAAATATACGTTTGCACATACGCATACAACAGAAAAATAAAGAAACATACTTGGAAATAAAAGATGAATATTCTTTTTTTTTACCTAACAGCCTGATGACTTTATAACATTAAGGTTATCTTTATCTTATTTGTTATATCTAATGTATTTGTATGATTTTTTTTCCAGTGAACTTTATAACACACACATACACATTACATTTTAGATAAAAGGACAGAAGAGAACTGAATAAAAAAAGGAAGAAATCGTGTCAGTTTGTCAGAGAGAAAAGCAAAATAAACTAAAAAAAGAACCAAACATAATATTAACAGTGATAATTAATATGTACATTAAATTTATGCGTATACGTGTGCACTTGCGTAATATAATCGATTATTGTGTTAAAAAATGAAAAAAAACTGGTAGAAAATTTATCATTCTCATTCTAGATCTTTCTTCTCATAATTTTTTTTTCGTTACATTCAAAATATACTAGAATGAAAGGGTGGAAAGAAAAGAAGAGAACAACTAAGAAAAGAGAGTTTACGCTGAACACTGGGTTTACACAGAGATTAGTGCAGGAAAAAAAACAATATCAAAGCAGATTGGAATACATTTAGTCAAGAAATGCATCCATCTCTATCTTCTGTGTTGGAATAAAACACCATTTTTTATACATACATAAATATACATAAACATCTAATCATTTTCACATAAATAAGCAAAAAACAGGCATACCACAAAGAGGAATAATAGTAAAAATATACATGCAAGTAACTGAATATTCAACAGTAATAATATTGTTTTTATTAAAAACGAATACAAAGAGTAATAAGAGTATTCATATAAATCAGCCGATACATACATAGTGTAGCTTTTAATTATTTGAAGACAAGAGTTTATTATTATTGAGTTTTGCGGAGTGAAACAGTTTTATTAACTTTATTGGCAGCGTTTTACAAATACTGATCGAATAATAGAAAGAGCAAGGATAGGAATAATTGATATGTTAATATTATTGTTAATGTGTCATGGTGTACAATTATTATTCGATAACCAAAGATCTATTTACTTCAAAAGACGTTTGAAACTTTTGGGAAAGACAATACACAAATGGATAATAGTAATAATTATTCTGTTTTGCAAGAAAAAAATACACTATTGACATCATAATTGTCATCACATCAGAGTAAAATACATAATCATTGTGAATCACTTTGTATTTTGTGTGCAGGCATAAAGTCAAACAATAATTCAAGAAATAATCACCAAGGTAGCTGGAACATACCGATAAAATTTGACTTCATAACAATTATATATATATATATAATATATATATATATATATATATATATATATATATATATATATATATATATATATATATATATATATGATAACAACACAATATTCCTCATTGTAACAAGATCATATACTTATTTATGCCACATAAATCATTATATAATTATTCCGAAGTATCGAAAGTGTTCATTTCGTTCGAACTACTTATAACATTGAATGTAATAACTGTGTAATTAATAGCCATTATCAACGCTGTCATTAACAATCCTTGCAAACACCAATTTCACGTGACTAAATATTTTTCGTCAATTATTAGGAAATCTCTTTTACATTTTAAAACAAATACAGATAAGTTGAAGATGAAACAAAAGAAATAAATAAAAGATTATCATTAGAAATCCAGACACAAAATATTTATACTTGTTGCACAAGTTAGCGGGTAAATTATTATTATTTTTTTGAAATACATTAGTCTAGGCACAAAAGGTTTACAACACTAGTGTTTATGTATATTGAATTATACACCAAGTAAAATAATGTAGAGAGAAGCTAAAAAGCAATTTTTTCCATACAAACTTTGTTTATGTTTGACGTTCACTTGACAAACCACGATTATTGGTTTCAAAGTAAGGTTGGATCGATAACTGGAAGAAATCGCCTACAAAATCGTGCTGAAATCTAGATCAGTGAGTATTCATACAAGATCTGGAGAAAATATTCAAAGTAACATTCAATAAAATGTATACAGCATATTCTTTCTCGATCTTCTAATTCACACACTTATGTATGTATCGAATCATACACACATTTAAATCTAAAGTAAAACTCATTCGCTCAGCGTCACCGGATCGATCGAAGACAATAAAAGACAGTACAATGTCTGTACAAAACGACTGCACACGAGGGTAAGTAGGTAAAACAAACTCATTACTCATGGATAGAAAAACTCAGTTTATATATGACACAAAAGGCCCACAACAGACAAGAATAATTTCATAATATGTAAGGGAATAGCTAACGTTAGGATATTTTTAGAGAATTCGCATAGTTTACATATAGATAGTTAAAGAAGTCCCTAGGAGAAGACTATGCATACATACCAAAGTAAAGACTTTCTGATAAATAAATTATTAATGCTGTCGACAATAATTCAACATAATTTTAAATACCTAAAATTCTTCACCATTTATTCACTGAAATAAAATTTGAATAATAAAATGAACCAGTAATTTACACGTTTCTGATTTTCTGTTTTATCACTGTTTAGTACATTGAAATTAGCCATAACGTGTCAATCGATATATGTGATGTTGTGCCCTACAACCCTCTTGTGCAACTTCCAATACATATGCAATACACAATAATACTTCATTTGTTAATTTATTTGTCAGGACCTAAAATAGATTTTGTTTTTGAAAAGAAAAGAAGAAATAAGTATAATTAAATATGTTATGATAACTTGAATATAATGATTAAAAATTTTTGATTACCAATGAATTTAAAATCATTATATGATGTGACTAACCTTATAATACGCTATACTAATAATATCACGATTATTTATATTAACTAATGCAGTTGTAAAAATAATTACCACTTTCATTACGCTTGTTTATTGAGATGATAATCTTCAGATAAATTGATAATGGCATTTTTCATTCGAATAAAATCTCATTTGGTTTTTGTTCTGCTGAAAACATTGTCTTGTTGTTTAGACTTTAACGTTGACTGAATTCTACACAGATTTACGATGAATTTTTTTTCTTACCGCAAAGAATTAAGTCACTTTCAAACATAGAATTCAGCTTACCACATCATCTGGAAATAGTTTAGTTTTACTATTACGTTCGCCATTAATGTGTCTGAAATTCCCCCCTCCAAAAAATTAGATGTATTTCCTCAGGCAAAATAAGTTTTGGCGAATAAGGAACATCAGTCTGGAATAGTTATTTTTAGAAATAAATTGTCCTCTTTCATCAGGATAACATAAAAGTAGCATAATTGAAATACTTCAAAGATTTAAAACATTGTGAATATCGGTACCTGACATGTAAATAAAGTTTTAAGAAAACGAGCTGTTTTATGAACAGGTTAGCGGTACCATAATTTAAAACATTTTGAAATCAGATCATCTTATAATTATGTTTTGTTGAAAAAGTTATTTTCTAACTAAAAATATCAAGTTATGAAAATCGGTAAATGCTAATTTCTGTATACATGAACTGATACAATCACCTTCTTTAGTAAGAGGAGTTCTTCATTATCTTTTTTCAAAGAACAGTCTACTGGAATGTAAATCACAAATAGAAATCGGCTGTAGGGCTACTACTATAATTAAACTTTTTCAAAATAAATAAAGTTACGATTTCCCACTTTGTTTAACTCAGAAAATCTTTGGAGAATCAAAAAAATTTATATTATGACGCAATACTTCAGTTAGTTAATGAAATGATGAATTGTTGAATTATACATTAAAAATATGTTCCAGATTAATTTGATTTTATCATACTGGCAGATAAATATACTTTTTCATCATAATTATATAAACTAGGATTCTTTTATCAGTAGAGTGTCTACAAACAGTCATACAGTTTGTAAGAGATTCTCTATGTAAAGAAAGCAGTTAACCGTAAATGAATTGCATGTCAGTAAAATCTCGCACAAAATAATAAACCACATGAAACAATGAACATTCAGTCAACTGTGAATCATTTAAAATGTAATGTAATCTTTCACTGGTCCAAGTTGATATATCCTACATCAGTACAGTGATAAAGCAAATTAAGAGGTAGAAGAGTAAAAGAGTTGACATAACACTACTAAATGTGGTTGAAACTAAATGTTAGGAACATACTTATACCTGAACGAATGAGCCTGAAAAGCAAATAATACTAAACTCATTTATTTGATGATCCGACCATTGAACAAGAATTGTTTCGAAGAAACGTATTACTTACTTTCGAATATCATTCCTAGTTAATCTTCATTTGTAAAAGCTCAGAAACGTCGGTTGTATATTTAGTTTAAATAAGCGATTAGTTGAGATGATAGTAAACGAGTGGTAAAACGATTAACTAATCGTTAATCGGCTTCATTTTTACAGATCACTGGATCTCCAGTTTAAAATCTGGGAGAATGAGTCGGATGTGATCGAAATTCCAGGCCTTCTAAACAGGCTCACAAACTAGGGGTATATTGATTATTATTAGTATTATTATCGTCTTATCATATTTATAGCTTTGCTAATACGAACACGAATACTACCGGTTCAAAAGACAAAGATGGAATGTTTGGTATTATTACCAAAATTTGACTTGATAACTTAAAATAAATTGAGTACTGGAGAAATTATTGATAAGGAAAGTAATATGTTTGTAATATCTCAATGAGCAGCGAAACTAAATTTCCTGATATTTCCTGACTCATGGTAAGCCACTTCTTCAAAAAATAAAATCGTATACAAATTAAATTAACTCAATTCTAAATAGTGCGAAGAAATTGAATTTCTATTTACTAAGAAAACCACTTAACACTCTAGAAGTTGGCCCAGTTGTAGATTAACTAATCGAAAAAATTCCAGAAAATAACTTTTATCCACAGCTTCAAAAAACATTACGTATTTTTACAAAACGAAAACTCTTCCTACTTAAAGTTTCACAAAAGGAATCGAGAGCCCTTTATCCACAATAAAAATCATTATTAGTGTTAAAGCTGAAAAAAGTAATACAACTGTAGTCATGAATAAAAGGGATTATAGTGGAAAAGCTTTGAACACCTGTCCATAGAATTTCAACAAAAGGTTGACATTAAAAGTTATCACATTTTTAGTAATTTAGTTCAACTGGAGATAAACTAACTTTCGAAAAATAAACTAAAGCTTTCTATTAGTGTCTCCTTATGGTTTACTTGATGTCCCAAATCATACACTATATCACGATTTTATGGTCTACCCAAAATGTGTAAGCTAGATATCCCAATAAGATCTATAGAAAACTTTACAAACAGTCCTTGATATGCATTATATAAAAATTTAAACAGTGAATCGAGGCCGCTTTAATACAAGTTACATGATGTAATCAAAGATTCTTATGAATTTAAGTGTGAAACATAGGAATTAATTATCTAAAAGAA